CCGAACAGCGATCGCAAGACCGGAGAGCCGTTGCGGATGAACGACATGTTGGAGGCGCCGATACTCGACGACCAGTTCCAGAGTCCGATCGTAAAGGCTATGAAAGTGTTGGCCTCTGTTGTCGACGCGCCCGTCGAGTGGATCCGCCGTATGTCTTGACCGCAACTCACCATTCGGTGACCGCTTTATTAATATGTTTATCGTTGCAGACAATGTGGTGGAGAAATATCGGGGCCCCAGTTATCCCTACTATCACGAGCGGTTCCGTCGGGTGCCCACCATTGACCAGTGCTATACCGATGATCAGGCCTGCATTTATGAGGCCAACAGACAGTACCAGAGAGACAAGTATGTCATCAACACATCTCATTACTACTGTATTGACTTTTAATTGATTCTGTGATTTGCTGTTATTATAAACTCGAAGGAAAGTCGATGAAAACATCATTAATATCTTAAGACATCGCTTCTATACATGCGTTTACTACCAGAGGAATGTCAATGAATACTATAATCATCAAAGTTTGTGCCCCAAAGAGAAGGAGGCGTACAAACAGGCGAACGTCGATTACTTCATCAAATGTATGGCAAAATGCAAATTACTTTTCGATAGTTTCTAAACTAATGATTGAATGAATTGCTCGCTTGAATAGATGGAGATCTCGGGCCCTTCACAACAGTGATCGACGCCTTCAACAAACAGAAACATCGGCTCATTTTCGAGCGAAGAGAAGCCGAAGGAAAAATCAAAAAGATTGAGAGCTCTTAGACTGAGTCTTAAACTCTGTCATCAGATCTTATATTGAAATTAGACTTTAATGAATGATTTAAACAAAATGTTTAGTTTATTGTTTGATAATTTAGACAAAATAATGATTATTTGAATAGGATTTAGTAATTGATTGTTAAGTAAATTGTATCTAACTTTTAAACCTGTTTTGTTTCATTTGTTTGAATTTATTTTGTTTAGTATTTATGAGTTGAGTCTTATTCTTAACAGTCCTCACGAGTTGTGTCCACGAGTTCTTTGACGACTCAACTTCGGTCTCATTGTTTGCCTTATCGTCGTTTTGAGTTGCCTTTGATTTCTTCATATTCTTCGTGCGATTCATTATCTTTTCAAAGGCGTCGGTCTTTTTGTAGTGCGGATCAGACGGATCCACATTATAGTGATGTGATGTATAAACAGCTCCAAAACGCGGATCTTCGGCATTAAACTGTTAAACAAAGTAAATGATTGAATGCATTCACAAATGACACTCAAATTGATAACACTTACTGTGAAATCATTGGTTTCTTGTTTTCGTTTTTTACTATTTGCTTCGTTTTCGACAATACTTTTGTAATTAAAGTGCTTTTTATGGTCCTCTTCAGAGTCCATAAGCAAGAGATCCAATTCGGGATCAATTTTTGCATCTTTTTTATCCCCTTTTCTGTGTTTATTTTTATTTTTACTTTTTGTAGGAATGGTTTTTTCAATCGGTTCCTCTGAATCAGCTTCAGATTCCTCCTCATCTTCTACTTCTTGTTTGGCTTTTTCTTTTCGTCGCTCTTTAATTCTCGTGAAGTCTGTATCAAACGTTGAATTGTCTCTATTCTTCTCCTTTTTGTCGACCAGATCTCCGACCATATCCTTGAGATTCGGTTCCCAAGAGATCTCCATTTCCATCCCCTCTTCAGTCTTACTCTCTTTTGGTTCGCTTAAAGTGTTTAATAATTCTTTGTATTTATTAATCTTATCCGTGGTTTTAAGCGTCGGATCGCTGATAAAAGCGGGCGTTTCTATCTCTTCTGCTTCTGACTCCTCTTCGGAAGAAGTGGCCAAATATGCGTTCAAGTCGTCGTCGTCTTCATCCTTATTGAAGGCCTTTTCCAACGCATGTTTGCGTTTGGGATCCGTTTCATCCCAAGTCATGCGGACTTTGCTTTGTTGGAGCGCAGAGTTTATGAATTGCGGCGCTTTGTATAAACTCAAGTTCGGCATTGAATGGCACTCCGATTTGGGCTCTCCATCGAAATCCATGTCTTCGGGAATGAATCGCAGATCGAGTGTTGAGGAACTGCTCTCATACTCCATACCATCCAACTCTTTGTACAAGACATCAGCGGTGGCCTCAGTGTCGCACTCGACCACAGCGTAGAAATACTTGAGTCGTGTCATCTCGTATTGTCTCAACTGTTCGGTGATCCGGGAGTCCATCTCCTCTTCGTTGTCAAACTCGTCGTTATCTTCATTGAGTTGTGTGCCATCGTTGGCGCGTTTGATGAACTGAATCGGTCCGCTCTCGGCCTCCGCTTTCATTCGCTGTAATCCCAGTTCTGATGGATATATCTTCACCGCCAGTATTGAACCGCCCGAAGGTTTGAACGAATTAATCAATACAAACAGATCCGTGGCGTTAATCCGATCCCAATCTATGTTACAAATGGCCACTCGTTTGGTGGCCGTCTCTGTTTGGGTCACATCTTTGTCCCATTCATTCCACTGGTGGTCAATCTCTTCGTCTTCCTCTTCGCTCTCTTCCGATTCACTACTACTCGACTCGTCTTCGCTGTCTTCATCCGAATCCCTTCCTCTGGCGTTCATAACCGGCGGCTTTCGAATAGGCTTTTGGAGCACTTCTTCTTCGGCCACTTTTTCAACCACTTCTTCATCTTCTTCTTCCTTGGGTTCGTCTTTGTGGTCGTTGTCCTCATTGTCCTCATCGGACAAATCATATAAAGTGTTGTAATCTTCGGCGCGTTTAGTCTTTTTGCCCCTTTTGTCGACCGAATACTTGAGTCGAAAGCGGTTTTCGGTAAACATTTTGTGAAATCGTTTATCAATTTTCACTTTTTTATCACTTTTGCGAAGAGTCCTAAACCGCGGATCACTCATCACGTGAGCGAACCGGTTGTCCATCTCTTTGCCGGCCATCGCTTTGCCAATCACTTCCAGTGAATCAAACGCTACAATCAAAACAATACACAAATCAATGAAAATAAGTCACACTTTTTCAAAACCAAACATGTGTTGACTTTTTAAGGGGTTATTCACACAAAACGTTACATACGATTAAAGACAGGGATGTATTGAGTGACGTAATGGTGTGAATGCTGTCAACCAATGAGATGTCTCCGCGTCTATGCATTGCGTTAACCACTGTTTTGAGTGTTTTGTTACTGTTTTTTGAGCCCAAAAACGATCAGTAAATGTGATTCACGTCTCGATTGACGTCTTGTTTGAAACAATTACTCAAAAACTGATTATTATTTCACAAGTTTTTTTTGATTACATTTTAATTATAAAAGCGTTTCAATTGTTTTGTCGCGTATTTGCAGTCAATTATGAAGTCATTTAGGAGTGAATTGTCTTTGATTTGGTTGTCATTATTGGTGACAATTGTGGTCCTCTTGGGTGCGGTGGAGTCGCGCAAAGACAAGATCAAGTTGAAGGACGTCCAGGTGTTGACACTGAAGCCCGACGTGTGGACCGCCGGCCGGCGCTCAACACCCGTACCGCAGCTCAAGTGTGTCGGCGGGTATTGCGAAGCCATCAAAGGCCAGACCGTTCAGTGCTATAATCGCGGATCCGATGGCCGAGACGTGCAGTGGGAGTGCAAGACACAGATGGATAGTAACTACAAGTTTGGATCAGTTGAGGTGACGTGTGAGGGCTACGACTACGCCGACGACGACTACGTGTTGGTGGGCTCGTGCGGACTCGAGTACAGCATCGATGGCCACACCAGGAGTCAGACGTGGGGAAGCGATGCCGTCTATAATCATCTCAAGAATAAGCCGTCGAATGGATTTTCCATTGGCTTTATTATGACAATTGGTGTCATTATATTCATTATATACTACGCGTGTCTTCGGCCCCAACGCACCGCTCCGGGCGATCACATGCCCAGAGCTTCCGGCGCTCCGCCGCCGCCCGGCTTTCGGGATTCTTTTGACGATTCTGACCGTTGCGGCGCTTCTTCGAGCGGTTCCGCCGGCTTTTCGGGTTTCACTTACGAGAGGCCGCACACGACTCGTGCCAACGCTAATACAGGCAACGGATTCTTTACTGGACTGTTCACTGGCGGAGCTCTCGGATATTTGTTTGGATCCAGAAATACCACTAACTATAGGGACCAGAACTCGTACTTCAATCGCCAGTCATCTCCGTATTCCTCCAGAGGTTTTGGTTCGGGCTCTTCTGGTTTTGGCTCTGGTTCGGGATCGACGACAACCACTTCTTCCGGATTCGGTGGAACTAAACGGAGATAGTCTTGCAGTCAATTTGCATTATTTATAATAAAGTCTTTGATTGTCTTATTTTGGTGTTTGTATCAATTTTTAATTGGCTTTATTATGACAATTGGTGTCATTATATTCATTATATACTACGCGTGTCTTCGGCCCCAACGCACCGCTCCGGGCGATCACATGCCCAGAGCTTCCGGCGCTCCGCCGCCGCCCGGCTTTCGAACGGATTTTGGCGATTCTGACCGTTGCGGCGCTTCTTCGAGCGGTTCCGCAGGCTTTTCGGGTTTCACTTACGAGAGGCCGCACACGACTCGTGCCAACGCTAACACTGGCAACGGATTCTTTACGGGACTGTTCACTGGCGGAGCTCTCGGCTATTTGTTTGGATCCAGAAATACCACTAACTATAGAGACCAGAACTCGTACTTCAATCGCCAGTCGTCTCCTTATTCCTCCAGAGGTTTTGGTTCGGGTTCTGGTTTTGGTTCCGGCTCAAGCCCTAGCTGCTGTTGGTGAAGAAGGCCTAAGCCACCTTGATTTGCCTCTATCAGAACGTCAGTTAAACGTAATAAATATTATTTCAGAAACTAACAGAATAAAACCACAAACATAGTTAAAAATTCACTTAATTTTCAATGTCTTCTTAATTAAAATGTGTATAAAATACAAATTTTAATAAACATTTGTTATAATTATATCATTTAATGTATGTTTTAATATACAGATAATAATAGATTTGGCAAATCTCTCAAATATTTATTGTTAATAATTATCAATAAGTTTGTATAATAATTGATAATTTTCTTAACCAATACAAAACTAATAATAAAATATGAAATCTTTTAATTAATGTTATAAATTTTAAAAACTTGAGGTAATAATAAAATTGTAATAATTTAATGATTGCAAAAATAAGTAATCAGGGATATGGAGGGCCGACACTCCAATCCATTGACTAAAGCACTTGCATATGATTTATGAACTAATTTTTACATTTTATACAATATATGGAAAACAGGAACTAAACTAAACAATTAATTAACACATAAAGACTTTGTGATCTGATTTACAAGATATCAATTCTATTGACTTGAATGTCTTGGTTGGCACACCAGTCAGATGTAAACGGAATGCAATTAAAGTACTTAAATATTTTCGAGTCATAAATGGGAACATTATATAGGAGTACGAAGAGAGTGATTATAATGAGCAGAACGGCGGCGAAGCAACATATTTTAATCACTATATGTTTGGTTCGGGTTTCGGCCTTCATATTACTCGGTATTAAAGCCAACGATAAGAGGCCTCCGATTACAAAACCGGTGACGTGAGCGTAATTGTCAATCCACGGCAGGAATCCCAGGAATAACAGCACCAGAGCCACAGCCAACTGTTTCGCTAATACAAAGTACGGCTTCTCCAAAATTTTCCACATTTGGTAAAGTTCCACAAAAAAGTAAGCCATCACTCCGTAGAGACTACCCGCCGGTCCCACCTATTAATGGGTTTATGTATAAATATAAAAGCATTTCAAATACAGTACTTTAATGCCCGTACCTCTGGCCTGAATGGCAGGAATACAGCGCTCGCTAAATAGCCGGTAAAACCCGACGTTAAGTAAATGGTGGCCATTCGCGCCCAACCCGTCAACTTCTCAATGTCTTTCATTATAAAGTACTGGAAGATTATAGTGATAGCGATGTGAAGCAGACCCGCGTGTAAGAAGATTGGTGTGAATATTCGGTAGAACTGGTCCGGACTGTCCTCAGTGTAGAACGGAATCATTCCGCAAACGTCTTTCATACACGACACCTGTGTTTATGGTTTCAATGGTCAGTATATTGGGTGCAAATATAGTTTAGAAAAATTACAACAATTGACATTATATAATAGTGACTCACTTGTGAACAAAGAGTCGCCTCTTCGTGAAAGAACCCTTTGATAAAATCGCAAAACTCTCGCGTCGTTATGTGACACTCGCCTGTATATTATGGCATTCAATAAATGCAATCATATTTAGATACAGTGTGTATGTAAAAGAGGACACGACATACCGCTGACACCCAAACAACAGGGACGGCCTATTAGTTCGCATTTCATATGAGAAAGGAAAGCAGTTTTGGCAGAAGTTTTTCGGCACACCTATAAAATTACAACAAAACGACAAAAATATGTATCACAAACAGTAAGGTTGGCCGACATCGCGCGCACTAACCGGCCATTTAGTTATATCGTCGGGCCATTGGTAGGGATCGATAGATGCCGGCTGTGCGCAGAAGCGCGGGTCTTGACCGCAAACGGGACCGGAAACGCGGCCATTATTATCGAGGTCTCCGCCGTGCCATTTGACAAATGTGGACAGCAATACCTGTGCAACAATTCAATAACAAATGGTTAAAAACATTTGCTATAATTCATATCACAATAAACTTACTGAACACTTATCCCGGTAAGTCTGAACACAACCCGACCCATCATTCCTTATACAACACCCGGTCTTTCTCTCTTGGTTTCTCTCGTCATCTATAATCTCATAGACTTTGCGATCCTTTCTCATACACGGAGTATACTTAGCGCCCAAATGTATTAAATCAGCCTTAAATTGCAACAAAACTACAGTTAAGTATCAGTTTTGCAACCAATAGTTATAACATGCGTACAGCTCGCGGTCCGCCCCAAAAGTTTTGTGTTTCAAAATAGTCGACCTGTTGGAGGGATAGACTCTTGACGTAAACCAAACCATTAATCTGTTCTATTCCGAGACCAAAATGTCCGAAACCGTAGGCACTCAACGAGATTATAAGAATCAGAATCTGAACGGTTGTTATCCAATAAGTAAAATATGGCCGAAAGTCGTCGATGTGGTCGTTAAAGGTATTCAATCCTTTTCTATCATCTCTCGAAAGGTTTTTCTTCGGTTTTCGACCCAAAAGTCTGTCGATAAACCCTAAACCAAATTCGCGACGATTCGAGTTATCGGTCTTAAGCATTGAATCTATTATCTTATTACGATATATAGAAAAGTATTAAAACAACTCTTTTGTATATTTAAATTAAAGGCAATTCAAACAATTCAACGAAATGTAATTCTTGTAAACCTGTTTGGGAATACTCTTCTCCTTAACTGAGATTTGTCTGTGAATCGACCATTTGTTTGCCATACGCGCCATCGGATGACTTGTCAACGCATCCACTTCTTCTCTTGAAACCACTTCTTCTCGTGAGACACCTTCTGGTGGTTTAACAAAGAAGTTGTCATCGATTTGACCCATTAATTCGGCCGATGGATAGAAGACACTATCAGCGGTCAATGTCTGCGATCCGTCGCCCCTTTCATACAAGTGTTCGGCAATCTCTCCGGTTCTCACGATATGCTGTTCGTTACGGTTTGAAAATCTTTTCTTTATCGCCTATTAATTATCAAAACAATTAGTGATTTATATTTGCATCAAATGAATGGTAACTTACATTGTATGCCAAAGCGGTCGCTTTCATTGTCACTTTTAGGGCTGGCTTTCGAGCGATGTCTTCGGGACTCATGTCTCGATTGTCTGAAAATGCTGTCATTTTGTTAGTTCGCGATAAACCGTCCGTTTCATCAAAACCTGGAGATTGTGCCGTCAATGGGGCTATCATTTGAATGGCTGGCGGGTCCTAAACATGTGAGACAATCAATCAGTTTTGTGGACATAATGTTATGATTGTGTAATCAAAACAAACCGTTTGTTTCAATTTTCCATAATTACGAAGAAGTCGTCGTCTTCTTTGGTCCCAAACGTTATCGTTTGTGTCATTGTCTGGATTGATACCTAAGATCTGTTGACCGGTTCTCACAGCCATTCTATATAACAAATTCATGAGTGAAAAAGCAATCAAAAAGTGATGACAAGAAAAAAGGTGTTTACGATTTGATGGATTCAGCTCTGGTGACAACGTTAGTGACAATCTGGTGTCGATTGCGTGCGGGCTCTGACACCTGCCTCCTCAGCGACGAACCCCTGGCGTCGACCGTCTGGTCGTTGTCCTGACCCACGAAGAGTGGGTTCTCGTAAACAGTGGCCGAAGAGGTGATCGCCGTCTCGGGTGCTGTCGTGGAAGCGATGGTGGGATCTAAGCTGACGGCGCGTCTGTAGTGGTGCTCATCGTTACTGTTTTGGTCGCTATTGTCTTGCATTACATATGAGATCAACGATTAGATAATGAAATCGAGGGTTGAGTTAATTGAACACAACTTTTAGTCAATGAAACGCCAATTTTGTGATCAAAAAATGTATTTCTCTTATCAAATGAAAGGCATTTCTCAGCACTTATTCACAGCATTCACACAGTGTTTGCCTTTCATATGATAACATTGGGGTGAAATTGTTTACTTTTGCTGCTAATCCTATTACCTTTTTCTCTGACATAAATTGCATGCAATTTGCACCCCTTCACTAAAATTGACATAATTTTGCATGCAATAGTATAGGAAATTCAGTAAAGAGATTTATACATAACATTTAAACTAAGCTTTTGAGAATATTTTCCTGTTTTAAGTGCTTTAAGTCAAATTCGGATTAAAATCAAAAATAATTATCAGTAATCAAATTTGCAATGAGATGTAAAACTACAATTTGAAATTTAAAATTTGATGAATCAGCATTTTAATCCATAGGATAATTATCTATAAATAACAAATTAATTTAAAACATCTTTAAATGATAATTAGGTTTTGATTTAATAATCATTTTAAAATTAATAAATTTTATAAATATGTTATGATAAATTAAGGAACAAGTATAATTTAAGAAATTTATACAAACAGAAATTAATACAATCTATTTAATTTACCATAAATAGTAAAAATCAGTGAATTAATTCTGGACAATTTGTTAATTTGAAATACTGATAATTTAATAATTTCATTTTTAATAAATGCAATAGTATTTCATTTTTAATTATTTTGATTATTGCTCTAAAATAGGGTCAATGTTGTCTAAAGTTATCTTATATTCTTTAGATAGTATTGCACCCCTTTACTGATGTATTGCACGCAATTCTATGTCCGAGAAAAAGGTATTAAACACACAGGTGTGTCCCGTATATCACTCTCCCCTCCCATTCCCTCCAACCACTCATTAACCATACAATTAAGTGCTGTTTAAATAATTAATGTGAATTTAGTGGCGAAATAAATAATGTGAAACAATTAAATGCTTGCATCTCTTTATTTTTGTTATACTTTTTTGTATACTTTTTTTGTTTCATAAAAACACATAAAACTTTTACAACTTTATAAAGAATATAAGAAAACAAATCATGCATTCATTTGAATGAATCGATTGCTAATAAAAACAATAAAAATATTATCTATAAAATGTTAAATAAAAATCTCATTATTTTGTTAAAAGACTAAAATAAAGACTAAAAGAGTCCGCAAAGTATAGTCATGTTTTGCGTTCATATATATTATGTCCGTAACGTTGAGACAGCCCTTCAAACGGCTCTCAAATTTCATAAAATTAAATCCAAAATTTGATTAACGATTAGATCTCAACATTGGTTGGGATTTCTTCGACGCTATAGTATTTGTGTTTAATTGAGTTCTCGTAGACTTTGACCACTCGAAGACCGCTCTTATCAGTTCCGAGTTGTGCTCCGATGGCAGACGTGACCACGAGTTCCAGATCTTTGTAAAATCCGCCGGCATTTCGATGATAATGACCGGTGAATATGTATCGGACGCCCGACGCGTACATCTTGTCCAACATCTTGAGCCGAAGCTCTTTCTCTACATTGAAATAGTCGTCGTCTTCTTCGGCTTCTTTTAGAAACCACGGGATGTGTTGAAAGACAACAATATGCTTGTAATTACAGTTTTTATATTCTTCAAGGACTTTATCGAACCATTCGTTCTGTTTTCGGGCGAAATCCTCCACAAGACTAATGTCTTTAAAGTATTGAGAGTTTAAGACCACAAACAAAACGCCTCCGCAAACGAATGAGAAGTAATCGTCGCCGAAATCTTTGCGATATTCTTCGATGGATTGAGGGGTCGGAGTGTCGCCGACGTCGTGATTACCGCAAACGCATACCAGAGGTATGGAGTTATCGAGATCTCGAAACGATTTCTTAAAATCTGCAATTTGTGGCCTTTTGTCGGCCTCTCCGGGCATTGCGTTCACTAAATCGCCGCAAACTATGAAGAATCGGGGCTTCGGTATCATTGTGTTGGCCGCGCGGACCGCCTCTTCAGTCAAACGGATCTCTTTATCCCAACCGGGGTTCGGGTTCTTGAAGTAACTGTCAATCATTCCCAACTGAGTGTCGGCGCTCTGTATGAAAACGAACGGCTCTTTCCATTCAAGTTCTTCATCTAATGTCGAAGAATATAACATCAAATTCAATGCCAAAGACAACACACAAAACATAAGATAATACAAAACAAATCACTGACTGCTGGCGAAGCCATCGAATGAGCCATTCTTTGCCCGAACTCTAAACTCAACTCTGTCTCCAGACATCACTTCCGATTTCTCTTTTCTTCTTCTTCCAAATAAGACAATCAATTGGACACAAATTTTTACGGATTCAATGAATCATTCAATGGCTTTGAAACCATTGGTTAACTTTTGAAAGTAAGGACAACAACACCACCGATATATCGATACAAGAGCTGACTATTGGGTACAACAATCACATTGCCATTACCACATTACCAAGGTCCATTACCACAACATCAATATGACCATGTATAATTTTACAGTACAGTACAAACCGCATGCACTGCCAAAAGCAGTTTGCTTTCCCATTACCACCGGTTAATACACTCTATGTCCCCATCACGGCATATACGGACGACCCCTACGCTTGTATTGCGTTTGTTTTGTGATTTGGTTCGCGACACGTTGTTTGTGAAGAGCTGTGTGTTTAGTGTAGACAAAGCACATGATATGGTTATGGGCTGTGAATGTGTAGTGAATGTGCAGTGAATGTGATGGCCGTTAATGTAAAGCCAGTGTCCGATTCAAACACAACGCTTTAACCCTATGTTTGCAATACATTAACCACTAATCCATTCATTATTTACCAATTGATTCACACATTTATTATAACAATACTATTATTTGTAATTTTTTGTAATTAGTTTTTTTTAGTTCATTATATGTTATATATGTTTGTCATTCAATACGTAAAGTGTTTGTCATTTAATTCACGCCAAACAATACGATAACAAATCGTTTAGCAATTAATTATTGATTTGGTTTTGTTTTTGTGATTTATTTTCGCTGTTTTTTGTTTTCAAGTTTTTTTTGGGACAAAAGTTTGGGTAAAATACAAGAGTTTTTTGATTAACGATTGGATTTGAATGTCATTTGAAATTGTTTTCTCATTTTACTATAGTTTCAGAAATCGCGCGAAAAGTGGTGCGAAAATAGTGGTCACCGTTTGATTGACATTATCTTGTGGACTGAGTGAGTGTTGCGGACGACCGCCGGGTGACCAGCGATGGATTCAAACAATAGGTTGCGTTCAACTAATTTCAAGAATAAGGGCAAAGACGCGGATGAGATGCGCCGAAGACGTAATGAAATGAGTGTTGAGTTGAGAAAAAACATTGTATAATAATTGATAATTTTCTTAACCAATACAAAACTAATAATAAAATATGAAATCTTTTAATTAATGTTATAAATTTTAAAAACTTGAGGTAATAATAAAATTGTAATAATTTAATGATTGCAGAAATAAGTAATCAGGGATATGGAGGGCCGACACTCCAATCCATTGACTAAAGCACTTGCGTATGATTTATGAACTAATTTTTACATTTTATACAGTATATGGAAAACAGGAACTAAACTAAACAAATAATTAACACTTAAAGACTTTGTGATCTGATTTACAAGATATCAATTCGATTGACTTGAATGTCTTGGTTGGCACACCAGTCAGATGTAAACGGAATGCAATTAAAGTACTTAAATATTTTCGAGTCATAAATGGGAACATTATATAGGAGTACAAAGAGAGTGATTATAATGAGCAGAACGGCGGCGAAGCAACAAATTTTAATCACTATATGTTTGGTTCGGGTTTCGGCCGTCATATTACTCGGTATTAAAGCCAGTGATAAGAGGCCTCCGATTACAAAACCGGTGACGTGAGCGTAATTGTCAATCCACGGCAGGAATCCCAGGAATAACAGTACGAGAGCCACAGCCAACTGTTTCGCTAATACAAAGTACGGCTTCTCCAATATTTTCCACATTTGGTAAAGTTCCACAAAAAAGTAAGCCATCACTCCGTATAGACTACCCGCCGGTCCCACCTATTCATGGGTTTATGTATAAATATAAAAGCATTTCAAATACAGTACTTTAATGCCCGTACCTCTGGCCTGAATGGCAGGAATACAGCGCTCGCTAAATAGCCGGTAAAGCCCGACGTTAAGTAAATGGTGGCCATTCGCGCCCAACCCGTCAACTTCTCAATGTCTTTCATTATAAAGTACTGGAAGATTATAGTGATAGCGATGTGAAGCAGACCCGCGTGTAAGAAGATTGGTG